TAATAAACATTCCAAGTGCTTATGCTAAACTAGAACAAGGTTTTACAGTCATTTGATTGATATGACAAACATTCAAAGGAACAAAAAGGGATATATGAATGAATCGAAGGGTTAGCTAGAAAAAACAAAGATTTTCCCTGAGCAATTTGATCAACTAAAAATATTATCCGGTTATATTACTTTTCAATAGGAAAAAATATTTTTAATAGGTGGCAGCACGGAACTAGTCTAACTTATTTATATTTAAAACAATCGGGAGGCTGAAAATATGGAAAGTAAAGGCTAAAGTCATGCAGTAAACGCCTTTAATTACCTTAAAGCGTAGACGAAATGATCCTGTCACGAATAAAATAGGAAAATTAAATAGTATTAAAGTATAATCAGAGTAATTTAGAATGGCACCTTGCAGATTGCATGAGTTTGCAGTAGTCGAGCAAAGAAGCTTAATTATAAAAAATAAGCACATATTTTTTTACAAGAAAAGTTAGATCTAATTTTCATTTTCAATATTACTTTCGGCTAAGCATTACTCATATTTAAGTCATGCCAAAAAAATTCATAACTTCACTACTAATGTTATCTCATTTACGCTCAGAAAACTAGGCTCATTAATTCACTCGCGTTTTCCGAAAAGCCAGATACTAAGATTGGCTAGGATCAATAAGGACGCAGAAAAAGTGTACCAGTAAATATCTAAGATACATTAATCTGGTCAACGCAAAAAAACAGTAATTCTTCAGAAATGAAGTGGTCTAACTCAGACATTCTTGGGTCAACAATAAACAAATTAACATGATGACGAATTTTTACCAGAAACATGGGATATAAACATTTCAACAATCGCTAGCATTGTAGTATTGGTTACATTCAGGATCGACAGTAAAGAAGCCGTCATTCATTTCATAACATATGCACCGCAGCCAGACCCCGCTCGCTAAGCCGCTTGCCAATAGAGCATCCAGCCCCGAGGCAGAAGAGTGGCAGTGCATGCGCAACTAATCATGCAGCATACCTGAAAGCAACATGCATCTTGAGAAGCAACATGTCAGTTCTTTGGGAGAAAGTGTACTACCACAGCTACGGCCGCGCTCCAATTGTATCAGGCAGTCTCGCATCCAAGTCGCAATGTCATACAGTCTTCATTTGCCAGTTTACAACACTTAACACGCAAAGTGCCAGAGACCTGACGATACCCCCATCCCTGCGTGACCAAATCTGGCCACGCCTTACCAGAGAAGCCTCATCTGACGTCCTGGCTACTTTGCACCGCAAATTCAACAAGTAATGTGAATTGGCTGCATTCACAGAGACTTTGCAAGTTTAAGATTCATCCAGGCAACGTGATTAAGCCATCTCATCAGCCTGCGTCATTGCCCCAAGTCCTCTGTCGTCAATGTTGCAACGGGTATTCACATGCGTAGAGAGCGGTCACTAATAACATCTGCCCACTTGTGCATTCGATAGCTTTGACTTCGGTGAGTATTCTATACCCAGGAAAAGCCTTATTTAAACCGTTTAATCAGCATATGACACTCCAAGAATTCCCAAGGAGGAATAGCTCATTCCCGAAAAATCTTACAGCGCAAGCAAGCGCTTTTTTGCACCGCCTCCGAAACCTATCTTGCTTTGGGTCACCAGGTTGCCACATTCAGATAGTACCATGTTTTGCTTGCAGCATGTTTTAGGGATTCCTCCCAGACGAGGACTTTTCAGTCGCAAAAGCCAGACTACTTCAATTAACCATTTATGTGCCCTAATTTCCAAATACCACTTTTTATATGCTAAGCTAGACACAAATGGTAAAGGTGCCGCAGAAGAGATGACCTTGATGAAATTAACTACAATCTTTTTCGGTAGTTTAGAAACATTATAATTTTAAGCTTTCGACTTTTCAGCGAAATCAGCGTCGCCAGAATGCCTGGAGCCGACGTAGGCTAGGCACGAGGAGCGGCTACGTAAGGGTTGATTAGATTATGCTGGCGCCTCAACTTTTAACCAATTTTGAATCTCTTGCAGAACGAATAAGTCATGATTGTGGTGAATAGCCTATTCCAATGTATCAATATATGGTATTGGCTGAACTTCAGCAACGTCAAGAGGCTATTAAATTGGGTTTGAGAATAGACAATTTCTTTACAGTAGCCAGAGTTTCTAAGGCATCCTTGTCGTGCGGTCTCCATTGCACGCCTCACTTCGTTTGATCAGTGGTATTTTTTGTTATGAAGCAGTCGGTGTGGTGGCACAAGTTTTCAGTCCATTTCCAATATTACCAGAAGTGCGCATGGCCTAAGTAAAAAGAAAAGTGGTTCGTGTACAAGCTATTATAAACAACTCCCGGTAAAGTCCAGAATTACATTTGTTGCATCAAAGCGGCTCATCCGCCTCTGAATGTGATTCACACGAAGCGAAATGACGCCCTTAGATGAAATTTTCATCCTGAAGTAAGTTGACGTAGAGCTTTATTCTTTAACGGCTGACTAGACATCCAAACCCAAGCAAGTTAAAGCTTATCCAGTCTGCTTTTTCACCTTGGTACCAAGCAGTGATAGAGCCTGAATAATTCTTCAGTAATAAAACAAAGTTCCCCCGATAGTTTGTAAAAACTCTTATACCTGGTAATTGTGAATAGTAGCTTTAATAACACAGCTCCTTGATAATGAGAGCTAATAATTCCCTGGCAGTCTTGAGACCTACTTGAGGCGAAAAAAACCGCCTACGCCCTTGTCTACTTATCAGATCGCCTCAAACCACTCTAGTCACAATATATTGATGCAAAAAAATAATCATTCGGTTGACTAAGAAAGAAACAGTATGGGTATCCCTAGATTGCCAGTCACCAAAATGTCCATCACATTTCTGAATACTTCCCAAATACAGTTACAATTGATCAAAGTACAGAAGAACGTATGACTTGTGCAAAACATATATTATTCCAAGTATGAACTATCGGAGAGCCCAAATTAGTGTCTATTGACCAACTTGTCACAGAATCTTTCGGAGGATGGAAAAATTATTGGTGTCAGTGTTCAGGCCGCCTTACAGGATTTGCCTGAGGAGGCGCTTATTGCGAGAACCTACAACGAAGAAGAGTCATATGCCATCAGATATCACTCATACTGGTGTTTTTATCAAATTTTGTCCAAAAATGACAGCAACCAATATGTGAATGATACAATACACAAGTCCAACAGGCCTTCAAAAATCTGCAATGCCACTGCATTCTGGAGACTTGTTTACTTGGGCATTATATGGCATTATTATAGCTAAATGCCGACTTGTAGTCAGGAAACACGTTCAAAAGTAGCCCAATAAAGGAAATTAAATTCGCATTCGGATTACTGATTGCTTGTGCAGTAGCAAATTAGACTGTGAATTTATCCCGATTCAAGCAACTTTACCTCTAAAGAGTATATGACTTAACGGAGTTGTAATCACCTAGAAAAAAACATAAATTGAGGCCTAAAAAATAAAGAATTAAAGAAAGCTAGATTTGGTATAAGCAAGCGATCTCAAAAGTTCTACAATCATATTCAAATTTTAAGGTATCAACATTATTTCAATACCTGAGCATTAACTAAACCCATATTAAGAATATAAGTGACGGAAGAGCCATGCGAGGCCAATAATTATAAGTCTTTTAATAAGAAAAACGATCTGTTTGCAAAGGATTAAATTTACCTATGCATTTTGCTTAATTACGTATAAACACTTTATACCAGAGTAAGATACCGAGAATAATATGAGATTGTGATGAAGTAAAATATGTGTATCCATCAGGATCACTCTGATTTCATCAGGTCCCAATAAGATAAGAGTGTCACATAAAGAAGGGAGACATATAATCGAAATACTAATGAATCCTGTGCTAGCAAGGCGCATAACAGTTAAAGCTTATATAATTATTCAGATAACACATTGATTACCTATTCCTGCTGTTGCTGGTGCTTCCGAAAGTCCTTCTTGACCATGATGGCTAGTGCATTGACCGGCCACTCTCGAGAGTTGAGGAGACAACGCTTTCTGAGTTATCGAGATCAAACGATGAGGAGTCGCTGGTCCCGATTGGGTGAGATTTATTGAAAATGGCGAAGAAGTCGTCGGCAACGATGACGAATGGGGACTGTGTTGGCACCGAGAATGCGATGGATACACGCATGGATAGATTTGCTGAGTTCGCTCTGAGGGTTGCTGATGCGCGTGAAGCGCACGACATGGAGGAAGTGGATAGTGTCCTTTTGCATACGTCGGTAGACTGGGATGCTGAAGAGGAGAATGTAACTCGCCTACAGTCGACTGGAAAGAAGGAACAGGTGCCATGACGACGGATGCAGGGATGCCGGAGTGAGGAGCCAAAGATGAGGACGAGACAAAGCCAATAGGATGATTAAGTGATCCCTGGGGTGGTGCGTGACAAAACTATAAAAAAAGTAGAGAGAAGTGAGTGAAAATCACTAGTACTTCTTTGGTTTCTGGTTTCGATAAGTTTTGTATATAAATGCAGATTATGACTAAATAGCAACGCATGGTATCCAGAGGCCAAAGTGACATGAGAAGTAGAGCAGTGGTCAAATCGAGTTTGAACAGTCCAAAATCATAATTGAAATCAGGACCTAGTAATATAAGGCAGAAGTGCAAGAATTAAGAGTATATATCGAGATTTGTCAGCAGAATATGGACAGCTCACCTCACAAGGGATGTTGATGAGACCGAGACGAAGTCGAAACAGCGGTCCACTCTGGGTGATAATGGCTCTTTAGGAGGCATGGAAACGAAATTCCATGAAAAATTATACATTTTTTAAAATTCATCGTGACCAGATTTGTTGTCAACTCAACAATAAGCCAGTAGAAACAGTTATAACGCGACAGCAACCAACCTCCTGATAGCCTGGAAACAAAATACTGCGATTGGAACTTCAGGACCACTAGTCGAACCCGTTAGTCATCGCTTTAATTATATTCCTTGTGATCAGATAGATCAATTGTCTGAGAGTGCAGAAAAATAAACAATAATACTAATAGAAGTGGGTTGACCTCGTTGTCGCAACTTGGTCTTGTGTTCAAGAGACTATGTAGAACGCACCGAGTCCGAAGTCGTCTGCCATAGTAGTTGTCTTGATTCCCAGCATCCG